GGTGCAGGAGGAAAGTGAGCTTTTAATTACCAGGGCAGAAGCAGATGTAGCAGAATGGTGCCCCCACCTCTTCAACGCAAACACAGCAGCGGCAGCTGGAAGTCATCAGCTTTGGTTGTGGGTGCATATTTGTAAGGACAGGAGCCCCGAAGCACAATGTTTAAATTTAAAGATGTTGAGTTTCTATTGGCACTTTGGTTGCTCGATGATTATTTTTCTCCCCCAACCCCCCCCTCACCTCCCTTCTTGTTACAGAATAATTCACGTCCCGCTTAGCGCCTCCTCGTCCACAATTTACAGTGTAATTAATGGCACGGAGTATAAGTCAGGAAAGGTTTGACTCTATTCAAAATACAGCTTACAAGTCCGCTCGTAAGAGTGGCTTCAAACTGGGGGAAAAGAAACCACTGGTTTAACAGGAACATTTTAATCTCATCTACACTCACCTCGTAAATCATCTGACATATGCGCAGGAAGGACAAAAATAACATGCATTTAATCAGCGAATTAAAATATATGCAGCTTGTAATTTATTTTTTGATAATATTAGTTGTTTTAAAGAAGTATTTGTGGGCTCTGTTGGGGGATTTTTAAACTGTGTGCATTTGTTTTGAATTAAATGTCATCTTATTGGGGGTTTTAGTGCCGTTTTAGCACCAGGCCGGATAAAAACTAGTGTCCAGCCCTCTCTCTGGTTCATTTAGTTTCTTTCTACTGATCAGCGTCACGGTAAAAGCAAACACATTTACAGCATGCGTGATTTTGTGATTTTTTTACTGATACTTTGATACAAACACCAAACGCTGCTCTTACTTAACCAGAGTGTTTCTTTAATTTTCTTTTTTTTTTTTTAAATACATTGTCAATCCCCCACCAATTTTTTTACACTCTTAGAAAATTTATCCAACAAAATGTGTGCACAGATGAAAACATGGTGCCCAGAGTATAAAATGACTTTCCATCAAGAAAATGGTGCAAAACATTAAAAAAAAGAAAAAAAGAAAAAAAAGAAACACAATGTCCCTGCACATATAAAAATAAATTAATACTTTTGTGTCCAGTCACTGTCAACCTTATTGTCTGGTCCTAAAGATTCACACACATGAACTGAGGCTTCATTGGCTTTCCTTCACACCAGCACGACCAATCATAATCACTTATGTACAACCAATGGCCAATGAGAAAGATTTATGTACACTTAACGAGGTAAAAACTGTGCCACCAAGTGCCCCCCCTGACACACTTCCTCCTCCCCTACAAACACCTATATACAACCACAACCCCTCCCAAATCAGCCAGCTAATAAGTAGCTCCTAGCTTTAAACACATGACAAAAATAGAAATCATTAAAAGGGTTTACAGCAAGATTAGACTGAACAGAGGAACAAAAGAAAAAAAAAAACTTTACACAGTAGTACAAAATGATGCTAAATTGCAAAAACAAGCGGGCTTTTAAAATATATCATCTTATGCCCATTACACAAAACCTCCAGATAAATAGAAAGCACAACACAAAGTTGGCTTTGATATTAGAGAATGCAGCAGAATAAAAGTTCCTAGTTTTGTTAAAGAGACGTCCAGCCTGAAGGACCAAGAGTTTTTGTAATCTGTTGCCTTAGCAACGCAGCTTCATTACCAGTAGCACTGTGAAAAATTGGGTAGAGTGACCAAGTTTTTTTTAATATATATATATATTTGTTTGCTTTTTAAAAAAAAAAAAAATCCCACTTTCCTCTTTTGGCCTCAGGCACTTGGGTTTGGACCCTGATTGGCCAGTCCTGACTGTTGTGGGTTTATAAGTGGCCGCTGCTGTCGGCCTTTTAGGTCCTGATAGGCTGGTCCTGCTCGAGAGGTAGGTGCAGCAGGAGGCTCAATCGGGAAGATGAAATGCAATCACCTCCACTTGCTGATAACCAACTGCGTGGTTTATCTCTGAAAGTGAATGTGTGACGTGGATTTAAGCATCTTTGTGAACATTCAACGTACTTTTTTGAATAATCTTTTGTTTTTCTCCTCTTTTACATTTCTTTTCCCCGAATGATCCTCCTGTATCTGGCCCAGAGAAGAGACAGTCAAAAGCAAGGCTTCTGTGGTGACCATACGAGGCTTGGCTCACGGACATTAATGGATGTACGCAAACTGCGGGAAGGAGACACGGGGAGAGAAGGCAGCACTGAGGACATGTGGGACATTTCCTCATTTGATAGTCCCTCCAGGACTGCTGCGAGACAGATGTCAATCACACATCTATGACTGGTAAGTCCTATAACAGGGAATTGTACTGTTGTCCTAATCATAATATTGCTGCCATTTTCTTTTCTTTTTTTTTTTCAATGTTTGTAGTTCTGTGTGTGTGCCAGCTTGTGCGCTGCAGCACAACTGCTGGTTTGGCTGAAGCCCCTGAGAGAGTGAAACAGCAGAGAGACCAGACCATTACAAAAACATTAATTAAAAAAAAAAAATGAGAGAGGAAAAAAAAAAACCCAAAACAAAACCTGGAACAAGATTCGGAGTAGGAAACACCGAAGAAATAAAAAGAGTTTCTGGGAACCTGTCAGTCAACTGAACTGTTGAGAGAAGAGACTAAACACACCATGTCCGCTGGTGCTACGTACTGACAGTAACACACGTTCAGTTACTACCAGCAGTATTAAATAACTAAAAAAAATCTTTAAGTAGACAAAGCAATCAAAATAAGGACTCAAAGCAGCTAAAAAGTCGTTAAATCAAATAAATAATACAAAATGACACAAAACGTGGTGTCGAGATCAGAACCTAAACTACAGACAGTCTTCTGTATAACTCCACACAGAGAGTGTGTGTGTTATGCTTTAACACACCGCTGGAAACAAATATCTAACATGAACACATTTTGCTCTCCTGCAGATGTTCTCATCACTAACCTACAAAGTTGACCAACAGACTGATCCCAAAAAACTCTGCGCATGTATATATATATATATATTTATATTTATATATATGTTAAAAAAACAAAAAAACAAAACAATAAAAAGAAAAAAAGGAAACAAAAAGAACATATGCCGTCACGTCTTCTCTTGCCCTCCGACGCCCACGGCTTTTTCGGCTAGCCGAGGCTTCTGCGCCCCTGAGCCATGCGTGTCGGCGTGTGCGTGCTGCAGCGCCAGGAAGGGGTTGGCGGTGATGGTGCCTTGGCCCTGGCTCTGGGCGCCGGGCAGCAAGTTGTTGATGGGCAGCTGAGCGGAAGAGAGTGGGATGGAGGGAATCTGGGCAGAGGAGGAGAGGGACTGCAGCTGCTGGAGGTCCTGCTGCTGCATCAGTTGGTAGAGCAACACCTGCTGCTGCTCCTGGGGAGCAGAGGGAGGAAGGGGGAGATGCAAGGAGGGAGGAAACAAGGAAGAAGAATGAGAGAAAAAAGAAAAAGGAAAAAAAAGAGAAGAGGATTAAGTGGAGGTGTCATTAAAGAAAAGAGTTGAAGGGGGGAACAGAGCGTGAGACAGAAGAAAAAAAGCAGGGGAAAGTGTGGAAAAGAGGGGAAGAAGAAGAGTTAATAAGCTAGGTGATTTAGACTATCGTCTAAAAGAAAATTGTAGCTCAGTGTCTTTGTGTTTAACTGTGTGTGATAGTAGTAAGTAATCAAATGTGCATAGTGTGTGTGTGTGTGTGTGTAGTACCACTGAAGGCTGTGAGGACAGCAGCTGGTGGAGCTGATGCTGCTGCAGGAGCAATCTCTGCTGCTCAGACAGCAGGCCGATTCGCGCCGCGCTGAGGAGACAAAGCACACTCACAGTGAGACAAACGCAATTAACACTCTGCCTGCACAGTACCAGACTGTTTAGCACACTTCTTTAAAACATTACAGGTCTGTGACGGTGAGAGTGACAGAAAATATAAACATTTATCTGTTTCTATAAGTTATAAAGAAAAACATGAGCTTATTTTTTGCTTCAAGAAAACCTCAAAACAAAACAAGAAAAGATTCAAACTCAAAAAAACATGCATGACTACAGCATTTCTTCACAAAGCTGACACACTGATGAAAACAGAGCTACGGCGGTTTGTGAAGTGGCACCAGCTTCTGCCTCACCTGGTCTTACTAGTTGCTGAGCTGCTAAAATCCATTGCGGAAGCAAAAAGACACAAAGAGGAAGAGAGGATGCAATAAAGTTCACATTTAAACTTCTTGGGAAGCCGAGACAAACATATTCCCGAACATTTTCAGTACTTAACTATGTGCTTATGTGAAAGGGCCTTGAAAATGTGAAGCTACTGACACCCATCTGGAGCTCTTTAACTCGCTGACAGTCAACCAATTTGTTGGGAAGGGTGATGTGAAACCACATGTATTGATTTTAATATCATCAAAGGCTTCCAACACAATTCGCATCCCAGTGTTGATGCTTTATTAATCTGAAAAGGGCGCTTAATGTATTAGAGGAAGATGAAAACAGCCATACTTGTTATTGACGGGCAAAGTGACGCCTGTAGCTGCTCCTGTAGTGTGTGTGTGAGGGCTGGAGGTGCCGGCCGGCGTCTGGATCACGCCGTTCAGAGCCCCGACGATTCCACCCATGCCCAGCGCACTCCCTGCGCCCAGAGCCCCCATTAGCCCCGCCACGCCGCCCAACCCAGCCGGGGTCGCCCCTACGGAGGCGACCCCATTGAGCTGTGGCTGAGGTGGACTCTGGGACACCGAGGGAGGTGTGGAGAGGGAGGAGGTGGAACCACTACTGCTGTGACCACCACAAGATGCACTATCCTGAGGACCAGAAAGAGACTCCCATTAATGACAAGTCCTGCATTCAGAATCTGTAGCTATGTCCTAATTCATAGGCTGCATCCTTCAGAGGACCAGGCCTTCACGTTCTACATGGGCCGGGTCCTTCGAAGACCTAGAAGGCCGGAAGTGCAAGGCTGTGAAATGGGACGGTCTAGCCTTCAGATTTCGGGGGAGATTTTTGGGTCTCGGGGGAGTTCAATAAACTCAGCCGTCTGCTCCTCGCTCGCTAATATATAACAGAACACTGGAGTACATTCTCTACCATCTCACACTTCTGTGTTTTCTGTTTGACGTTTATTCAGCTGTGTCGAAACTATAACTTTAATCTCAGCCAAACCGATTTACTCAGGAACAAATAAAACACTGAAAAAAGCCAAACAATAACATTTTAAGTGACTTATATTTCATGTTTAACCCGAGTGAAAGACCGCGCGGATCTGAAAACGATGTGCCGGGAGTTTGCTGTTCTTGCCGGCTCTAGTGAGCCTTGACCACCCGGTCAGCTATCGAGCTGGTGGGTAACAGACACCTTCGAAAACGTTGAAGCACGTTTGCAAATATGTGATGTCTTGATAAACCAACCAGATACTTGAAGCTTACACAGCTACATTCTCGCCTGAAAACATCTTAAAAGTTTATTTGATGACCCAGAAAAAGTAATAAGAGTAATATTAAAACTAAGTAGCTGCCGCCATTGTTGGAAACTGGAATTGGCCGGGCCGCGCTATGAATTCTGGGATAGGTTAATGAAGGACACATTTGTCGGCCGCATTTGGAGCAGCCTTCGAATTGGGACAGCCTTCATTGCCTTGCTGTGACATAATCGACCTTCAAATACGGCCTCCGAAGGATGTGGCCTATTAATTGGGATATGCGTTATTTCACACCTTTTTGACATTAAATTAAAGCGATCATTACAGTTTGCTTAATTTACAATGTTAAAGAATAAATAGAATAAAAGAAAAAACTTTCAAAGTCTACAAGCCTGTAAGTCAACTACAAAAAGTTCTGTTTATATTGCAATTTCTATTCTGACTTTAAATCTTGCCTCTGCCATTTGCCATAAATAAATTACTGAGTGTTCAAGACTAAAACTAACACTGAAACTAATGAAAAATAAATAAAAATAAAGCCACTCTGGAAAATCAAAACAGAAATCAAAACAAAGCATAAAAACTAGTTCGAAAACACAAACTCTGCTGACTACAGAGGAGTCAAACCACGAATTTGTCCTTACCTGAGTCGCCACAGGTAAAGATGAGTCAGCTGCTCCCGGCTGGGCTCCCTTCACATCTGCGGATAACCGAAAGGTTAGACATGTCTCAGTAGGGCCAGTCTAAAAAATGTGAAACCTGCTTTTCAAGTTCTAGAAATTTTCTGTGCTAAATGACGTCAGCCAGCAACAATCCATCTTTTCGATCGGGAACAAGAGAGTAGCTCAGTCAGATCTTAAAGCAGAAAAAAATAACATGTGCAGATGCAAGAATCTGAAGAACTTTGATATAAACACATGCACGCATCAGGCTGTGCTATGGGAGGAAGGGAAGCTGGCAGAGGCAGGGTGATGATGGTTGTTACTCATACATCTTCCAAAATAGTGTTGCAGGCCATATTCAAACCTTTCATGCCAACAGTATTGGACTGTCACATTTTCAGAAATATAACACACCCTCCGTGCAAAAATTACTTGAACGATAACTTTAGGTGTCGTCTTGGCCTTTAAATTCCCGAGCTCTCAATCTGATCAAGCATCTGTGATATTTTTTTACTCCATGGAGGTAACATTTTAAGGATCTCCTGCTGCCATGCTTGATACCACAAAACACATCAATGGGGGGGCAGCTGTTTCAGTGACACAAAGCAGACCTGCACAATGCCAGGCAGGTGCTGTGGCTCACTGGTGTGCATCATTCACCTTGATTTCTAAGTAAGTAAGTAAGAGTGTCTGTGTACCCGAGGAGGCCGTGGCAGGTGTGAAAGGCACTGATAGCTGTGCGCTGAGAAGCTGCAGTCTCTCTTTCTTCATGGTCAGAGTTTTTATCTGCTCCTCCAGCCTCCTGTTCTCCTCCTGGAGCTGGTGCAGAGACTTCAACATGCTCACCACTGAGAAGGAGAGAGGGAACAGAAAAAGCAGCAATTTTTTATTTCCTGCTCCAAATATTCTGTAATAGCTCCGCTCTGAATTTTCAATTTACTGCTCTCCACACCTGTGTGAGAAAATAAAGACTTCAAAATTGCACAAATGAAATAAAACTCAGCCCCGTCACAGTCTGCAGTCAACACTGTTAGCCCACTTGTTGTTTTAGCTGCACCACAGTGAAGCTAAAATAACCAGTGCTGGTGCTGGGTTATATGCTGGGATGAATCTTTACAGGACTGACCCTTTCACCAATATCCTTACTTTCTAAAAGGCCACTCATTTTCTAAATCTGCCTTTTCTTATACCTCACATTAACAACACACACAGTGACGATCAGACAGATACTCAACACAGACATGTCAGAGATCAAGGTCAGCTACAGTGACCCTGCGCCTGCACGGACTCAGTGTCGGGGGAGGAGGAGGAGGGTTTGCAGATGCAGGAACTTAAACCCGACTCATCCGATTGAAGGACAGCCTTTCTAACGACCAGGCTGCCATCCCCCTTTTTCATTTTCACTTTATTGATCCCAGAAGGGATGTTCAGATAGGTAGATAACCAGCAAGAGATTGACAGGTGCAACAATAACAGATAAAGTGAAAATGTGACTGAAAGAGGGAGCGGCTCTGCACAACAGCTCGAAGGCAAAGAGCCGATGGATCAATTGACACAGAGAAGGAAATGGTGAAGTGGACAAAGTGTATGAGTGCGTGTGAGGTAGGAGATTAATCTCCTGTCATTTTTGAAATGAAGAGAATTCACCTTTTGTTTTCATACTGCCTTTGTTTGATTTCAGGCCTTTTGCCTTATACTGTATCTTTTAAATAGAGAGTAAAACTATTATTTGGGTTTTTTATGTGACTTATTTGTTAAATAAAATGCTGTGAGGGTGTCACAGGTAGAAATAAAATCCGTCTGGTGAGAGACTTAAATGGAATTAACAAACTCATATGTGTGTATCACACAGAATCATCCGATTTCAAAAGGCTATATTTTTTAAAGTAATGGAAATAAAAGCTTTTGGTAGATTTTACATACAAAATTTTCACAAGTGCTCCACATCCCTGTGGACACCCGGCATTAGTCCACACAATAGTCAAACTCGTCCCATACTTTTGCAAGCATGTCTGGAGTCACTGCAGCCACTGCTACCAATAATCACTCCCTGCTTAGAGGCCTGTTTTTCAGTAGTTACTGGTGAGCAATAGTCTGAAATCGGACGATTCTTTTAGGTAATCTTGTAGTTTTAAGGATGCTTGGTGCTTGCGTCCTCTCACCGTCTCCTTGCGCTCCCTGCTGCAGCAGGAAGCTCTGCCCTTCGTTCCACTGCCTCTCCAGGAGCTGCTCAATGCTGGTGGCCACTGGGGGCAACGTCTCCCCACCTCCTCCCGCCCCTAGCAACCCCTGCCCCGGCCCCGGCAACAACCCAGAAGAGTCATAGCGGATCTGCAGGCCACCAATCGGAGAGCTGAATGTAGGGGAAGAGAGAGAGAGTGCATTGATAGAAAAGGAGAGATGGAGAGGTCAATAGGGAGATTAACGACCTAACATAAACGTCAGACAAACATAGTCACTGCTGGCTATAAAACTACATCAATTTGTTGTTACAGTGGCCCCTAATGAAAAGGGGCCAGGCTTTCTGTCTGCGCGTGAGAGCTAGAAAAAGACTAGGAGAGAGAGGAAGAAAGAAGACATGCAACAGGGGGAGACAGACAGAGAGAGGGAAGTGCACTGTCTTGATGCGATAAATCTCAGTGTGCACTGAGACAAGCTGTTGGAGCCTGAGGAGAGGAGGAGAGGGGAAAAGGGGAAATAAAGGACACCGGAAGAGATGACTGAGCCGTAGGGGTGCAAACGGCATCTTATTTTCCCCTATTGTGGAATGTAAAAATATGACTTAACTCACCACTCGCACATGAAACTTTAAAGAAGCTTAAACAGTCTTAAAGTCACCTCATTTTGCTACAGTGTTTCCTTTTGCAGTTAAATGTCATTTATCCTAAATTTAAGACCAAAAATTTAGATTTAAAAATAAAAAATAAAACCATATATAACCAACCTTATCAAGTGAAATCACCCATTCCACAGACAATAGCGGAAACAAAAAAAAAAAAAGATTATCTGTATGATCAATTTCCCCGTGATCCTGAATGATCCATGCAAACATTCCAAAATGGAGGAGATACAATAACTCATCACACTGTCCTTAAACACAAGAAGACAAGAAAAAAACATCTAACTGGACTTGAAGGATGGTTACCACCTTCAAAAACACAAGTTATCGATGGCTGAGAGAGCAAGAATTGCCTGTAGGGGCAAGAGCAAAAGAGAGAGTGTGCATGTGTGTGTTTGAGGAGTGAGAGGAAGAGAGGGGAGATGAGGGGGCCAGCAAAGGGAAAAGCAGAAAGGGGGAGGGGGGGATGGGTGAAGGAGGGGGACCAGTGAGGAATGTAAATGGTGAGGGAGTGCTGGGGAGGGTATCTGTGTGTGTG